TTAGAAATCTCTTTCTAAAGAGAAGCCAAGGTGGAGACTCCAAAGAGGGATCCAGTGTCAGTTATTTTAAATGATTACTTTGAAAGAAGATCTTTAAAATGTTGGGCTATCGTCACTTTTCACTGAACTTCTGATAAGAGATGGAAACATGCTACCTTTCCTGCAGTTCCTCCCTCCCCGCTCACTTGCCCCTGTCTCTGGGGCGAGTGGGTGCTGCCCCTTTCCACGGGAAGCCCTCCGCTGGCTTCTCCCGGCGAGTCGCTGTGTGTTTCTCGGCAGGATCTCCTGGGTGCCTCCTTGCTCCTGCGCTTGTCTCTAAGTCCTTGATGATGCTACAGTCTCTCCCCAGAGTACTCCTTTCCTCTTCCTGCATTCTCTTGATTTTGGCATATTGTTCCTTATTCTGTTTCCTTAGCATGTTAACCTCTATTACACTGTCATAGTGCTTTTTATTATTTTTACGTATTTGGCTCCCTCACTACACTGAGATGCCCATGCCAGTTTGCAGTGAGTCAGTGAATGACGAGTGCCTTAGGAGCAACCATAGTAATGGCGGCAAGTGGCTGCAGATGCTGGGACTATATCTGCAGAGTTGGTTAGAGGACCCTTGGTCTGAGAGAGCTTCAGTGCTTGGCTAATGCAACAGAAAACATTATGTTGAGTTTTAAAAGAGTAAAGAAGTCAAGTTTTGCCAAAAGAATAGAAAATCTTACATGAAGGCCATTTTAAGATCCTATTGCAACATGAAATATACGAAAAGAAATTTATGAAAAAATCAAAATTTTCTGGCGAGTAATGACATTAACATTTTATATTACAAGGAAAGATAAGGCCAATTTAATAAACCATAAAATTGGCAAAGTTTCTGGAAAATCTGCAGAATTTAGTTATAATTAATTTTTGTGCCAATGTTATCAATTCAAAAAGCTAATGTAGATGTTGAAATATCTGCAATATAAAGAAAGGGCATACTAAAAGTTTTGCTACAGTAGCTTGTCGTTAAACTTATATTCAAGTAAACGTTCATAACCAGACCGGTGACCTCATGTCTGCCCCCACCCTTGGCTCTCCGCAGCCCCCCACCTTTTCTCCAGACTTCTGGCTTGTCCCCCCTCACCCTCACTTCAGGTCTCAGCCAGTCCACCCCTGTCTCTGAAAGGATATCCTTCCCCTCCACTTAGACCATTAATCTACTCATCTTTCTGCCACTGTAGAAGGGTTACTCCCTAGAGAACATTTCCCTGGTGTTTCAATCTATTTTGATATAACACCACATTCTTATTTTTTATAATGGCATTCATAATAATTCATGCTAACATATTTACTCGTGTGGTTGTTATCTGTTGTTGTCTCCACACTTAAGAAGTTGTAAGTTCCAGATTACTAGAAAGTACTTTGCAACCTGTTTATCACTGGATTATATTCACAAAAATATTATGTGTCCATTTTTTCTCCCTTCAGACAGGGTGGGAAAATCAATAAACACAAAGACAGTTTCTCATCCTTTCAGGCTCCTGAGCGTGTCCTGGCGCAGTGCCAGCGCTGACTTCTGTGACACTGAGTAGCTTCCCGCTGTTAGCTCTCTTCCCGCAACCATAGGAATCGCACTGGGAAAGAGGGAGGAGAGTACTTATTATTTTTAAAATACTTGCCAAAGCAGAGAATGATGATACATTTATAAACCTCCACATTACAAAACGATTAAATATATCAATGATTAACCTTTTGACAACTGTCAGCACCCTCCTTATAGAGAATCATGAGCTGCTTAATGGCAGGGACAGGTTCTAAGGAACGCCTCCCTGGTGGGTGCTCCCGCTGTTCTCGGACATCGGGAGTGCACGTACTGAGCCTAGTGCTGTTCAGGACACCGGGAGTGCACGTACCGGCCTAGTGCTGTTCAGGACACTGGGAGTGCACGTACCGGCCTAGTGCTGTTCGGGACACCGGGAGTGCACGTACCGGCCTAGTGCTGTTCAGGACACCGGGAGTGCACGTACCGGCCTAGTGCTGTTCAGGACACCGGGAGTGCACGTACCGGCCTAGTACTGTTCAGGACACCGGGAGTGCACGTACCCGCCTAGTGCTGTTCAGGACACTGGGAGTGCACGTACCGGGCCTAGTGCTGTTCAGGACACCGGGAGTGCACGTACCGGCCTAGTGCTGTTCAGGACACCGGGAGTGCATGTACCGGCCTAGTGCTGTTCGGGACACCGGGAGTGCACGTACCGGCCTAGTGCTGTTCGGGACACCGGGAGTGCACGTACTGGGCCTAGTGCTGTTCAGGACACCAGGAGTGCACGTACCCGCCTAGTGCTGTTCAGGACACCGGGAGTGCACGTACCGGCCTAGTGCTGTTCGGGACACCAAGAGTGCACCGTACCGCCTAGTGCTGTTCTGACACCGAGATAGTGGCAGTACCGCCTATTCTGTTCGACGGACACCGACGGAGGGTGCACGTACCCGGCCTATGACTGGTTCGAGGTACACCGGGAGTGCACGTACCGGCCTAGTGCTTCGGGGACACCGGGAGGCACGTACCGGGCTAGTGCTGTTCGGACACCGGGAGTGCACGTACCCGCCTAGTGCTGTTCGAGGACACCGGGAGTGCACGTACCCGCCTAGTGCTGTTCGGGACACCGGGAGTGCACGTACCGGCCTAGTGCTGTTCGGACACCGGAGTGCACGTACCCGCCTAGTGCTGTTTGCGATACCGGGAGGTGCACGTACCCGCCTAGTGCTGTTCGGGACACCAGGACGACGTACCGGCCTAGTGCTGTTCGGGACACCGGAAGTGCACGTACCGGGCCTAGTGCTGTTCGGGACACCGGAAGTGCACGTACCGCCTAGTGCTGTTCGAGGACACCAGGAGTGCACGTACCGCCTAGTGCTGTTCGGACACCGGAGTGCACGTACCGGCCTAGTGCTGTTCGAGGACACCGGAAGATGCACGTACCGGGCCTAGTGCTGTAGCCTCCGCGCAGGCCGGCGGCGCTCCCGCCACAGACCGGCGCAGCGCGTTCCTGCGCTCAGGGGAGCAGGCGACTGGCGCACAAGTGCTTGTGTACGCAAACAGAGTGGGAACAGCAAAAATATAGTATGAAAGATAAAAAATGGAACATCTGTATAGAGCACGCACCACGAATGGAGGATGAAAGACTGGAAGTTGCTCCGGGATTCCGCGGGTGGTGGCGAGGGAGCGAGAGGCCTGGGCACTGCCGTGCACGGCTGCAGACGTTACAAACTCTGGACACTTAGGCTACACTAAATTCATTTTAAAAATATTTTTCTTTCTTCATTAATAAAATAACCTCCACTTACTATAAATTTTTCCTTTATAAACATGTTAATTTTTTAAAACTTGTTGATGCTTTTGTAATAACACTAGATTAAAACACAAACACATCGTATGGCTATACAATTTTTATTTTTTACTTGTTAAACATTTTTAGTTGAAAATAAAGACACAAGCACACATTAGCCTAGTCGTACACAAGGTCAGGATCATTGATATCTCAGATGTCTTCCACCTCCACATCTTGTCCCACCAGAAGGTCTTCCGGGGCAAAGACAGGCGGGAAGCCGCCCTCTCCTATGAAACGGTGCCTTCTGAAATACCTCCTGACGGACCTGCCTGAGCTGTTTGCAGTTAACTCTTTGTGTGTGTGTGTGTGTGTGTTTGTCACCCAGGCTGGAGTGTAGTGGCATGATCATACCTTATTGCAGCCTCAAATGCCTGGGCTCAAGCCATTCTCCTGCCTCAACCTCAGGAGTAGCTAGAACTATAGTCGCATCTCTCCATGTCTGGCTAATTTTTTGTTGTTGTTGTTGTTTATTTTTAGTAGAGACAGGCTCTCACTTATGTTGCCCAGGCTGGTTTCTAACTCTTGGCCTCAAGCTACCCTCTTACCTCAACCTTAAATTTATTTTCTCTTAAGTATAAGGGGTACCCTATAAAATAACAATAAAAAATATAGTGTGGTAAATACATAAACCAGTAACATAGCCATTTATTGTCATTGTCAAGAATTATGTACTGTATATTATAATTGTATGTGCTACACTTTTATATGACTAGCAGTACAATAGTTATGTGTACACCAGCATCAACACAAACAACCTGAGTGATGCCTTTCGCTACAATGTTAGCATGGCTACAATGCCAATAGGTGATAGAAAATGTTCAGCTCCACTATAATCATGTGGGACCACCATCAGATAGGGGTCAGTCATCCACCAAAACATCTGTAGGAGGCACACGCCTGCATTTCAGAGACCATGTCTGACATATTATATTGGGTTAGCCTATTTCATAAATTCTTAGCTGCATTTTTTTCTCATTTTAACATGTCTTAAATTTGAATACACATAAATTTGTGAACACTTTACTTCCCAAATGAATGAGTGAAAATTTCTGGTAAGAACAAGAAATTGTCAGTGTCAAAATCTTTTTGACTCATTGAAATACAGTTACACAAGTAAAGTAAATGTGCTTTTTTGTAAAGCAACAGAATTTCTGTAGGCAAGTTAGACTCATAGAGAAGAATATTTTGATAATTCTTTGTTCCAGAAATCAACACAATAAAAACCTAGAATGCTTATAAAGCTCTTTAAAATTTGCAAACGCATTCACTAGAAGTATTTAATTTGAACACTGGGACAGCGCTGAGGATGAGAGGCGATTGTGCGTCACCTGTCGCACTGTGTGCACTCCGTCTTGCGCTGGCTGCTTTGCTGGGTAGCTGCTAGGAGGACTTGAAGCCAGAAACCCTCACGTCCACTTCATGGACACGCTCCAGTGTGAACACAGAGAACAGTGTGCCAGTCACAGACTGTGAGGCCTGGAGTCTTGGTTGCTGTAACCATTTTTCATGAAGACTTAGTGATGTCATGGAGTGTTATCCTTTTGACGGTGGTGTCCACACCTTGCTGCAGCGGGGACGGCCACGGTAGCCTTGTACGGGGGTGTGTCAGCCTTTGTAACTCCAGGTTTTCACCAGGACAGTGATCTGCTGGACCGGCGGAGGCACTGCTTCACCGTGCAGTCCGAGTCGGGGGAGGACCTCTACTTCTCCGTGGAGTTGGACTGTGACCTCGCCCAGTGGGAAAGAGCCTTCCAAACAGCGACCTTTCTTGAAGTGGAACGGATACAGGTGAGAGTCCCCGGGACCACAGGGTCTGTGACTCCCAAAGATGCGTGACTACTGCCCTCGAGTTCTACTGTTAGTCCAAAGTGGTATAAAAATACAGTTCTGGGGGCCATGACTTCCTTCTCAAGTATGGCCAGTAATTGCCCTTTGTTGTTAAATGACTAGTAATACAGCTTTGAATAACATTTTAATGTTTCCATAATTTGATTTTTCTAGGCTATTTCCTACTACTCATCGAAAACATATTTCCAATTTTAATTAGACACTGCTTTAATTTAAATCTAATATAGAAAATGCTCTGATTTTAATTAATTGTTTACAAGATCATTTCCTGTTCTCAAACATGACCAACCTAATTTCCAGCCTGTCACCTTCACTCACTCACAATGCTCTTTCTTCCAGAAAGTCTTCCCTTTGTCTCCGCCCTTCAAAAACACACACGGTGTTTGCAGTTTCCCAGAGGCCAAAGCAGCCACAAGCGTGTCGTCCCTGACTTCCAGGCTGCCCTGCCCACTGATTGCCATGGCCCTGTCACAACAATCCTCTTCAAACTCTTCCTCTTCCCACTGTGGAACACCTGGCTCTTTCTCGTGTGTCCTGCGGGACCGCTCACACTCACGCCCGCTCCGGTCTGCACTGGAGTGGCATGCGCCTGCCACCCGCACGGCACAGGCGCCAGCAGATACTCACTGAACTTTGTTTCTCAGTGTGAGGTCATATCCAGATCACACTTCGTAGAGCCCTCGCCTCTCTAATTCATGGGAGCATGGCATCAAACGGGCTCCCAAACGCAGTTCTGAGGCCCACCTCTCCCAGCCCTGCAGGAAAAGGAAAGACTGCGTGCGATGAACTCGCCACATGCAAATGGTTCGCAGAGCCAGGACTCAAGTACATACATGGACCCTTAACTTTGAAAACAAATATGATGATAGTATAACATTTGACTATAATGGACTGTTTGTCTATAACAGGAGATTTGGATGTAGCTTTTTTCAACATGGTGACCCGATTTTTTTCTGATCACAAACCCCTGTAGTCAGAACATCAAGGTGCACCAGTGTGACCTTACAACCAGGGAAGAGAGAAGACTCAGATTTCAGTTGTTTCATTGCTCGGTTGACACTTTTTGATAACTCTGCTTTTATCTTCATATATCTAAAAAAGTTTAAAGTAGTTGAAATATAGTTTTCATAATTTAGCTTATAGAAACTCAGTTCAACTAAATAGATATATTAATATCAAAAATGAAAAGATGGAAAATATCTTAATATCTTAAATATTGTTTTTTCCCATGTCAACATCTAAGATCATTTTCAAGCAATAAAATATAACTTAATTGAATGACAGCTGACATATTTGTTATTTATATTGATACTTTTAGAGTTTCTTAATTACTGATTTTCTAGAATATTCCACTTCACATAGAAATGATTTCATGGAAGTTTCCACATTTTGGTCCCAATTTAAGATTCCATTTTAAGTCTCCTGATGTTTATAAATGAGGTAGCAATAACACTGTGTTTGTGCTCTGTGTTTTAATCCTGTTCTTTGAATCTGGGCTTTGTATTCTCTAAGCTGATGTCCATCAAAATGCATTGGACTATCTCTTTACATATTCACAATGCGAACTTAATATGCATGTTGAAAGTGAAAAGTAACATATTTAATGCCTTTTTAACTTTTAGTTATACTGATTTTATAATTTTTCAAATTACTATATCAATAATCAATAGCTGAACACTTTTCAAAATTCGAGGATGTGAACATATTTACAAGAAGAACCTTATGTGTTTTTCTTCTATATTCTCAATATTTTACTACCATTAAAATAGGTAGAGAATTAATTAAGAAAGGAACATGAGTTTTATTGTGAAATAGGCACAAAGAAAATTAATGAACTGAACTTAAAAGTGTTTCTCATTAGAATTTCCCCCAAAAGGATAATTTTTACTTATTGCTTTTTTATATAATTCCATCTTTATTAAACAAAAATTAAATAATAAATATTTTTCATCATTAAACATATATTAAGTACACTTATGCTATGAAGATTATAAATTATAGAGTTAAACTTCAGTGAGTCTCAATTCATAACATATGTTTCAATTTAATGATTATTGACAAAATCTAATTTAATTAATTTGTAATACTGAACTAAATGGGAAAATTTTAATGTACTGCACTGAATGTATTTTCACCTGGCATTTTCTTTTTTAAATGACAGTGTTTGAAAAATAGCACACAATTAAGTCTAAATTAGAAGGAAATTATATAACTTTGAACATTCCTTAATGTCGATAATAGTTTAAATAAAGTACTAATGAATGGATGCAAGCATACAAGATGTTCATGTATTAAACAAATATAATTACTCTCCAAAATGGACTTTTGAGATCCATTAAGTATGTTCTCTAGTCTACTTTTTTGAAAATTTAAATTAAAATGGACATTTTGGCAGTTATTAACTTATGTAAATTAGGCTTAAACACATGAATACAGCTTTTTGGTGAAGGCAACTTGTATTTAGTCATGATTGTAGTCCGAATGTGATTCATTTAATGTATTTTTATATACAGTATTATAAAAATAAATACAATATAAGGATAATATTGAAAATTTGCTTGAGATAGGTAAATCTGTCTCCTCTCTCTCATCTTGCATATAAATCACAAGTGCTTTCATCATTTGACTATCTCACTAATGTTTGAAATTAAGTGCAAATAAAACTAGCCTATAGATATAACAATATATCATATATATAAGCCCCAAGTTTTTATTTTACATTTAATTTATATCCTGTTTTTTTTATATTTCAGTATCCATATTTATTAGGCTTCCCAAAATGTTTATATAAGTAAAATTATAATCGGATCTCAATGTGAAAAGTCATTAGTTGCTGATTTTTAAAGAATCAATAGTTTTATACAAATAAGTAGGCAAGTGGTAAATGTCTTTGGAAAATAGCTTACACCATATGGAAGAACATTTAGAGATTCTTAAGATCACGATATATTGTTTTACCTCAGTTACTGATCTGTGTTTGTGTGCCTGTGAGTCTCTTTAATAATATTCATGAAACTGATATGTTGAGAATTTAAGATGCTAATCTCTAATAATAGTTTTATTTTTGTTTAATGAAATATGGTACTATTTGGGTACAAGATGTAATGATTTACCATAATCTTCCTTACACCTAGGCATTTTTATACCGGCTTCACTGTCAGTATAACAAAGAGAGACAGAGTGGCACAATATAAAGACAAAATTAGATGGAGTAGGACTGGAAACTTGGCCCTGTGTACCCTTTGACAAGTTCAACAACAACAACAACAACAACAACAAAATACTCTCAGCTTCTATTTCATTAGCATTCAGATGTTGCTAATACTATCTTTATATAATTATTGCTAACAATAAGTTAGATATTATATGAAGTACTTACTGTGGGAGCTGTCACATAGTCACTGATATTGCTCTTGCATAAATCATTTGAAAAGTAACAGTCCTTTCTGTTCTGTCTAGTGCAAGACCTATGCGTGTGTGCTGGAGAGTCATCTAATGGGACTCACGATTGACTTCAGCACAGGATTCATCTGCTTTGATGCTGCGACAAAGGTAATGTGTTCAGGGCAGCTCTGAAAAGTGCTGCAGGCATTCTAATTCAAGAACAATTGAGTGAGAATCAAGGACCTTAATTAATTTAAGAACCTTCCAACTCCTTTCAGCATTTTAATTGGTTATCATGTATCTAATTTAAGATCCTCATTTTTGTTAATGGAAGATAAATTATTCTTCAATTGGCTTATAGAAAAAGGTTTAAATTTTTAATAAAAAATACAGTAAAATATAATGATATTCAAGTAAATCTATATCTATCTAGCTATCTACCTATATCTCTTTTCCTAAAGGCATGAACTCATAAATGAGAGAGCATCTTCTCCCCCCAAAACAATTTTTAAGTATTCTTTTATGATGTTTCTGCATCAACATCTACAACATAAAATGAGGAAAACATTTTTTTAGTTCTTATAGCGGATATTTTAGAATTACAGAAGGAATTTTGAAGTTTGAGGTTTCTAGCCAGGGAGTGCAATGCTTACAGACAGTTGACTTAATGAGGGTTGTGCGCGAGCTGATCAAGTGCCCTTTTCAGGAAGGATGCATGTCTGGAGTGATGTACATTGAAAGAGGAAGGGTACCTTCTCAGCCAGTCACATCTACAAACCCCACTTTGGTGATAATGACGTGACAACTGACAAGGCCAAAGCACTGCTCATTATTATTTGTATTATTTTTAATTGGAAGTGATGATAAAGCTCAACTGACCCCCATCCAACTGCTAATCTCCTTCTGGTCACTGCCACAGTTTCTGACTCATCGATCTGGTCTCATGGAAGACAGTCTCTTCCCTCTCATGACGACATTAATTCCTTAGATCAGCTCCACTTTCTGGTCTGTTAAAGTATGGCCTGAGATATAAATAAGCCAGTTTGTTCCTTATCACTAATTTTGAGGATGAACAAGTAATTTCCTACTTGGACATACATTTTTATCTAGAAATTAAGACTTATACAGTATTTTCTGAAGCAAATGCCAACAGAATGAAACAGTAATAAGCATGTGTGAGACAAGTGGAGTGTAGGAGACAGTGGCAGAGTTTCGACCGTGGAAGGCATGAGCATCTGGGGCGGGTCCCGCCGGTCGGAGCCCCGTCAGATGCCATCCAGTGCTCAGATGCCTGTGAGTCTTCAAGACTCAACAGTCAAGATCATCATGCACAATTTCTTATTATTTCAGGATGGCCAGTGCTTTATTTTATTTTAACATCATGAAATGAAATAGTATATATATATATATATGCTGATCAAATTTGGCTATCTGGCATATCAACTTTGCATGATGCCAAAAAACTATTTTGATAATTAAGAAATTTCAGATGATAGTGATTTTTTTGATTACTCTCAAATGAGACTGCCATAAATTTATTCTATTACTAAAGACTTTCTTTTGATTAAAATGCTTATCAAATCAGTATAAGCATATATCAAATTAATTTAATAAATTAAATTATTAATCAACTTAATGAGTATTAAATTAATTTAATGAATACATTTAGACATAAATTAGACTGAGTTCAATAAAATTTGAAATATAATTTTGAAAAGGAAGTATTATTACCAGGATTGTCATCAAACTCTATGCCATGAATGTGAAAGAGTCTCTCACTAGTGAGTGAGAGGGAAACAAACCAAATTCATCTGAACACATTTCCAGTACTTGAGTCTATTCCAAGTTTATTTTAAGACTAGTGTAATACAAATAAGTTCTGGTGTCCTGTTGGCTTTCTATAATAAGGGAAAAATGATGACACCAATGTCCTACCCAACATACCTATCTATTTCTGCCCTCAATGTGTCAGGAATGAGTGAGTAGTCAAGAGAGTTTAAGGAAATGGTTATTGTGGAGATGAGGGGAAATTTCCCTTTCCCCCAAAAGTTCACTGAAAGAGCAACTCACAAGGCAGATTAATAAGAGAAAGGGGTTTATTTACTGTGTGCATATGGAGAATCACAGTGTGGTTACCCCATGGCCCAGTGGGGTCCAGAAATTTTTATACTCTGCTTTTAGAGGGCAGGAGGAGATGAGGAATATAGGTAATTCTGTTTAGGGGCAATAAATGGTTGTGAAGGAGGATGAAGGAATGGGGAAAACAGACTGACTTGTAAATAATTCTCTTTGCAAATTAAAGTAACCTGAGATACAGGTATTATCTTAAAATGGTTTGGGCCAGGTAAGGCTACATTCATGATCTTTTCTGCAACATATTGAGATACCAGGGATGGGGGAGGAAAGTCAATTGTTCTTTTGATGGGTCTGTCTGGTTTGTGCAGATAGAGGGAAAGCCCCTTCCAAGGTCTGTTGATCTTTAAGGGCCTTTAATTCAAAATACTCTTTATACCAAGGGGTCATATTTCTGGGTGAAATTTCCTGAGCTCCTTCATTATGATGCCACCCAGGGCAAACTATTTGGTATGAACTGAGTTTAGTCTGTAAATCTGATACTCAGACAGGGCTTTCAGGAGCAGCAATTGCTACCCTTCTATTATCTGATTCTGTCACCATGCCTCTAACTTCAAGGCAATCTGGGATTCATGAGGGAGTAAAAGGAATCTATACATATAAAGAAGAGGGCTGTAGTGTCCATCACCCAGACAGGACACTTGGAGAGTGAAAGTGAGAGCTGCTGACAGTCATGTCCGGGCAGCAGGACAGCAGCCATAAAGGGAGAGAGTCCTGGGCCAGCCTCTGAGCCGCCTGACTGCAGGAAGCTTGCCCCACCTACTGAATGAGCCTACAAGTTACTTTTAAATATAAAAAGGTAATTGTTGTGCATAAATTAAAACATGTCTTATTCTAACACTTTATTAAAATAATTAAATACTATATAGCTACTTTCGCTAAGTGATATCCATGTAAAAGTATCCTTAAGAATATACATCCAGCAGAGACTTAAAACGTTTGCATTCAGGAGGGTGATGGCAGCCGTACAACTCACGTCCTTTAGCTAAGCACGCTTTGTCCTTCCGCGCTCCGCCTCAATCACCTCCTACAAGCTGGAAGTCTTGCAAGACCTTAGGAGAAAGGATGGGCTCCGGGAAGGGGAGGGCTCCATTCTGTTAACTGAGCCCCATGCAAAGCAGACATTGTACCATTAATACATCAGTGAAGGAGAGAATTGCTTATTGTATTTTTAAAGCAGTATATTTTTAACTTCTCACAAAAATTTTTAAAATAAATAATAAATACAGAGAATAATGAAAGAGTAAACTGAGAGATGAGATCAGAGCCTCTTATGGTAGGGGTGGGAGTCAGCATGGTTTTAGATTATGCTAGAACACTAAAGGTTTGGAGACAGGGAGGGGTGTCTGAGAATGCTGAAATAATTCTCATTACTTACCATCGGTGCTTAAAAGTTCCCAGGGAAAACTATTTCTCTTGATTTTCTGGAAAGTATAAAATGCACTAAATAGTACTTTATTCCATGTACTTCAGTTTACATTAGCAACATATCTAGAAGTTGCACATTCTTTGGTTTCCCTTAGTGTTGCTGAGGGATTTTCTCACAAAAATTTATTGCCATACAGTTTAGCTTCTTCTTTGCAATCCTCATCCTCATCAAAAGGTAACCTTTTCACTGTTAGAGGTTATTCTTACTATTGTGTCAAAATATAATGTGTAATAATTAAATAATTTTCATAGCTAAAAGCATAGTTTCCTTGCCAGTATATTCTTTTACATATGTATATTGATATTTAGTAACAGATTTCCTGTGTAAACAGAGACCTCAGCAGTTATATCTACAAAACATTCATTAAATTTGTAAATAGATATTCATGGATTACCTGCTGACTATGGAGAGACATGGGAGGGGGCATATCAGTCTTGGGTGCTCAAGGAAGACTTGATAGAAGTTACCTATGAGACAGGGAGGATGCAATTATTCAGACAAATATCTGTAAGTGAGGAAGGACATAAAATGTGAGAGCCTAGGAAATGAGAGATCAAGTCTGTGGGTAGGGGCCTGATTGTGAAAGAGTTCCTATTAAGGAATTCGGATGTGATCCTAAAAACCTTTGAAGTGTTTGAGAGGTAGCAAAGAAATGATCAAATGTGTGTTTGACAATGCAAAACTGTCAGAATAATGTATGATTGAAATTGACAGAGCCTGGGCAAAATTCAGATTATAAATTCCCCAAGTCTGTCCTCCACTGGGCATCTACCTTTCTATGATGCTCTGGAGAAAACACTATGAGGGTGAACAAATGACCACAGTGTATCCACAGAACTAAGAGTCGTTCAGTGTGAGGGAAACTTAAAGTTCAAGGAGGTGGGTCAGCAGAGATGAAGCTGGAGAAATAAATTGGGCCACATGATCAAGGTCCAGTGTGCGTTTGACATAACCTGAAACCCTCCACTCACTCCTTACCCTGTTGCAGTCCAGGAATCACAGGGCTACACTGGCTGTAGCAGGAGCGCTAGGGATAGTCCCACTCTGTGAATGTCCACTGTGGTGATGGAACATTGTAGGTCATGGCTCTCAAACCTAACTAAAAGTAAAATAAAGTATTACTCATATCATTGCAGATCTATGACAATAATAAATATGAAGTAAAATAGTGACATAAGAATTGGCTCTAACACATTAGAAGTTATCATAATGATTTTATGTTTTCTTCTTGTCTCCAGTACTTTCTTTTTATTTCTTTTTTTTTATTTCAGCATATTATGGGGGTACAGATTTTAAGGTTTCAATAAATGCCCATTTCTCTACAAGTCGAGTCTCCAGCACGACATCCAGATGGCTGCACATCTCACTCATATTAGTATACACCTTCACACGATATTATGCTAGTACCTATGGACCACTTAGGTGCTGTTCAGTTAATACAATTTGCGGTGAGTGTATGTTACTTGTTTCCATTCTGGAACTTCACTTAATAGATCGCCCAGGTTCCAGTTAACGGCAACCATATCAAGCTGGTGCTATCACCATTGTTCTTAAGCTGAATATATCATGGTATACATATACCAATTTTATAATCCATTCTGGATTG